CTTACCCCCTGCACGCCGCCAGACGAGTCCATGGCCTCTTTCATTTGAAAAGCTGTTTCAAGGTCGTGTCCAGCATTTAAATACCGCGCCATGTGTGACTTAATCGTGGCCGCCTTACGGTCACACGAGCCCTTTCCACCCTGTGGATCCGAAAAGTCAATTCGTGATATTTCTACATCATTGTATTTAGCGACTTGAATGACGGTAATAAGGGTCTGTGCACTGTGGTAGCAGGCAGCATTGTCCTGCCTCAGATTACCTTTTTTTAGTTCTGGCATTATTTCTTTGAGCTGTCTGAATRCATCGTTCAGAACGGACAGTACTGCGGAATCTACTCTATCTTGGGAAATAGACTTCTGGAATACATGCGCAAATGTCATCATGTCCATCACTCCATCCTTATTTCTAATAGCTACGGCTAGGTGCCACGAAATACCTCGTTTGGCGAACCAATCCGACTGACTTTCGCGAAATTTACGAGGAATATATTTCATCGCCCAGTCAGAGACTAATAACACTGAAGAATGATCCAGGTCTCTGAGTATGTCCAGTCTACATTCATCCTGATTGATAGARCGAAGAAGATGAGATTTCCAGGCATGTATATYCTGCTTTGCCTGTGAGAACAGGAAGGACATTTCTTGCCTTTCATCTTCCAAGCAATCGACAACTTTCAAATTCTCTTCAATCTCTGTAATGACCGACTCCAGAAGAGAACAACGATCGCAACTTGCGTTGTGGGTATGGTCACACGTGCCTTTGTAATGCTTATCATTGGGATCACTTAAAGCGTACACACGACAGTGGTCTGGAACCGTGGAACKTTTGGACACGTGAACCTTAAATTAGATAAAAGAACCTTAATTTCTTATATAGAATCTTTGGAACCCTTGGAAAAGTTGGCAAGAAGATGAACCCCAAAGGAGAAAAAAACGACTGCATGAACAAATGTCAGAGAATAGTGAAATTGCGCAAGGAGACGAGATAATTCTCATACTATTCAATTAGAAACACAATAAAATACATAGTTTATTAGTCTTGAAAACATTAATAAAATATTGCTTGTTCTTATTCTGTCAAACCCCACCCAAAGTATCTACAGATAACTAGGCTATTAGAAAAGTTTGTATTATAATATATTTCTTGACATACCTTGTAATCACCCTTCAGGTATCTCTTGGCTTCCTTTAGTTGCTCTTTCTTTGCCTTTTCCCAAGACAAACCCAGTCCGTTGCTATCTCCAAGGCAATCGACAACTTGCTCTAGGTCTTCAAACGCTCTGGCACCCTGCGCTCCAAAATAATCTAAACCTTGGAGAGATTTCCTTATTGAAGCAGAACATACATCCAATATTCTGTAGAGGGTACTACGTCGCATGGGCTTGAAGCCTTCTTCGCTACAAAACAATTCGTACTGCTGAATAATTTGTGCCGGGATGACAGTCCTGATGACATTGGGAACAACTATTTCTTCACTGGACGATAGCTTTAACTTCCTTTCACCGAATGGGAGGTCCTGTACAATATGTGCACTTGTGATAAAGTCAATGAAGTGGCTTAGCTGTCCCTTAGATACATACATTCTAGTACAAGCAGTGTCAGGTAATGCAGCACCACGCCCATGAAGAAGTCGATGATGTCTAGCAATGTTAAATCTATAGCGCGTCAGGTCTGGAATCCACCGCTTAAGTGTCTTAAAGGTGACTTTGTCAGCTATGATCGAAAGTATTTGACGACGCGTACCCCAGTGTTTAGCGTTCTTATAGCATTCAGTCAAGGCATCTACTAAAACAGAATCTACATCGTCTTCTTGATTTAATGGGATTTCTTKAGCTACGTTCCTTGAACTGCTCATAGCATCCCAAAGGCTTTCCACGTCTCTTGGTGCTATCTCCTCAAGAACGGCTTGAACTGCTTGCCGTGCTTTCCGTGTATAATATCGTCTTGTTCGTCCTTTAGTAGACTGCCACGAGGTCTTAAGCTGATTCCGTACAGGACTTATA